CTGAACTTAGGGGGAAATGGAGGAAAAGAAAGATGCGTTGACGTGGCAGGGTCGCTGGTTAGGTCCCATGTGGCCTGACTTCCAGGCTTTGCCTCTAAACTCAGTCTCCTTTTTCCATGGCTGTCAAACAGTATACTGCTAGAGAAATTCTTTGTTAGGAAATCTGTGGATAAAAAATAAGCAAGGGTTCACAGTGTCCCCGATGTGCCACTGGACTGTCTGTCAGAGTAATTAGTGATTTGATGGAGTGACCAGCAATGAAGCTATGGAGAAGACTGAGTAACAAAAAGAAATGAAGACTGCTTACCTCCAGCTGAAATACTGGAATTTCCACAAATGATCCCTCTACTTAAGAAAGGATCCCCAAATAACAGAAGGGCATCTTTGCAGAAGTTAGCCTACTTTACCTTTGCCTATGCCCTGACCTTTACTATAAATTTATGATCTGCATCATTCCCCACAATCCTGGCTTCACATTAAACTCCAAACAATGTTTTTTCATTACCTTTTCATATCAGAATTTGTGAGACCTGCAAGATTTTTTATATTACGTAGTTCTTTATTATAGAACAGAAAATCCTTGCTTTAAATATTGTATTTTGGAAAGGGCCTAGCTGAGCAAAAAAAAAGGTTGACTCCTATAACCTTCACTGAGTATCATAAACTCCTGTACTTTTTTATTACTGGAATATTATTTTTGATATCAGTGATGGAATTATCATTCATAGCTGGTTCCATTAAGAGTACTTTTTGTCATCAAGACATGCTGTCAGCCCAAAAGTGGTCACTGTCTTCACAACGATTATGAATCATAGAGAGTCATGGTGTGCGTATGCAAGACCAATAAGGCAAATTCGAGCTGTGCTGTTATGAGAGAGTTTTACTGTCTTCATTGCTTGTTAATTATTTCTTTGCTCTGCTATTTGCAGACAAGACTGAGTCATCAGAATGAATGTAGGTGGTGAGATAATTCTGTTTTCTTTGTAGCTCTGCTATTAACATTTAAAGTGACCTTGGGCAACTCATATGCTGGCAAAGATGGATTGTGCTCTCCAGCTTCTATGAAACTTCTGGGCCTATTCAATACCAGGGCAACCTGAGACAGAGGAATATGATGAAAGTGTCCATAAGCTCAGGACAAAAATCCATCTAGGACAGCACCTGGTGGTCCAGAGTGGATGTCTGGAATGTAATAGGCAAGAAATCATGACAGGGCTTTAGACTACTCTTCTACAACCACCTGTGGCTCAGTGACATCTCAAGGCAGAGGTGGCTTCTGTGTATTTACTAGCCCTCTCCTTGTTGTTTCTCTTCTTTAAACTTACTAAGACTCCTCCTGAGCCCATGCAAACTTCCATCATTTGCAGCATCCATGGCGAGGTGATCCACAGCTTAAAGACACTACATGAAGAATCACTTTTGCAAGTGTCCTGGTTTTGGATGGAAGCAAAATCCTTATGCTGACATTGAACCTTTCACCTACTAGCCTTCCCTAGTCTTCTCCAGTTCCTGTATTGGGAGAGATGGTGAGCTGGTGCTTAATGTCCATACTGTGCCCTGTAGGAAACTGCACCCATCCAGACTTGAGACCTCGTACAAATGCCTGTGGCAAGGACAGCTGAAGTTGTCAGAATCCTTTCAGGAGAAACACTGGAGCACCTTCAGGGAAGGACCCTGGATTGCCTTTTCTGTATCGTTGGAAGAACAGATGGAATAACCTGCTTACATTGCAGATAGGTGCAGTGAATATTTTCCTGTTATTAGATGTTCCTAAGTGCCCCTTAGCAACCTGCAGTTTGTCCAGAGTCCATTCTGATGGTACTCCTGCAGACAAGCAATGCAAGGAGAACTCACTGGCTGCATGGTGTGCTTTGTAAAGTAATGTGACACCACTGAACGGTCTTCTCACTTGGCTTCAAGTCAGGTTTTTTTCTCTGACCTCAGCTGGTCTGGCAGCTAAACCAGTTTACTTACCTACCATATAAAAAAACTGGGCGCCTGTCTGTATTCAATTAGAAGTGTTCTGGAAAACTCAGCGAAGTTTTCTCCACAGCTACTGGAATGTTTTTTGAGGCCCTGCTAAATCTCTTACTTCGTTCTTGGAAATTTTCTGCCCTCTAAACTCATGGCCTTAGCAGAGGCTTTGGCTTTCTCACTGAGATGTCCTTCTTGGCAAGACCCTCTGTCCTAATGGTTTTCAACTTAAATCGTGACCAGTGGAGCTTACAATGTCTGTGAAATAAATCAGATTGTACCATTGTCCCAAGGTAGATGTGGTAAATCCATAATAAAGCAAATTCATATCTATTTCATAATGCCTGAGCCTTCTGGGATGCTTTATCTGGCCTCAAACAGCTGTCTGTCTGTTAAAATATCTTTGCTCCTTCTACCTCATTTGCAACGCACCTATTTTTCCTCCTTTATAGCTTTAAATACAGCTTTGGAGAGGGCCTGTTTTAAAAAGCTTATTTTGACTTTAGCAAGAATTCTCACCATTTTAAACTTCGAATAGGAAGGAACTTATATCTAGAATTTTCTAGAGATTTAGCAAAACATCTGGATACCTATCAGATTCCTACAGTGCATTCCCCTTCTCTTGCAGAATCTCAATGAGTATAGGTCAGGTATTGAACTAGGCTGAGCCTATGCAAACCGGAGTTACTTTAACTGAACTCATTAGGAATTTGCCTGGTTGTAGCCGAGGTCATTATCTTTTGCTCTTTGTCTAAGAAAGCAAAATGAACGTGTCATTTCCAAGAACTGATGTTTTTAGCGTTGGGGTTGCGTTAACTCCCAACCACCTTGTACTGACAGACTGAGCCGGGCGGTGGCACTGGTGATCAGACAGAAAGCAGACAGAAATTCATGCGTTTTTACAACGAATCCAAATTAGACCAATTCTCACAGCTGACAAGGAAATCAGACAAAACAACATCCAAATAATTAGAGTTGTCCATACAGCTGTTTATTGGACTATAGACAACACGAGCAGCTGCAACAATCTTTCTAGAAGTCTTTCAATATTGCAAGACCATTTAACATTTCTTCTTTTGATGTGTAAGATAAAAACCTCCTTAATCTTAAATCTGGAAGAAGTCATTCGTAGTGAGAAGAAGAAGATACAACAGTAGTTGTACTCGGAATGTCTTTCAGCTCTTTGCATAGCCAAGAATGAATTAGAAGCCCAGAGAGATTTGTCCAATTTTCTTGCAGTGCCAAGCAACCGAGTGAGGATGTAAGTCTGGTTTCCTGACCTGCAGCCAGTACTGGTGTCTGAGCAGTGGCTTTGGGCTTTTACGCTGAAGGTTTTCAGTTTTGCCCAGCTTCATTACATCGTCTTTGTAAACTTTGTTGCACACCCTTTCTTCCCCTTTCTGGGAGGGAGGTCATTTTGGAGAATCTCCCAGATTTCCTCAAGTTTGTATGTGGACACGACGTACAAGTACTGTCCCGGGACGAAGCTGCAGGCAGGCCTGGTGACTAGCAAGGAGCTGCTGTGTGTACAGAGGACAGGTATTTTGGTGGAGAAAGAGCACAAAGTTTATGTGGTCCCCCCTTGCGCCCTCTCCCCACTTTGGCAGAGGGAAGTCTTTATCAGCTGTGGTGGAAAATTTTGGACGGTCTCTCAAAATTTTGCAGCTGCTTACGGGTTCAGCGACATGTATTCCTACTTAGAATGTCTGTAAGAGGCACAGATCTAAGCACTGAGCTTGCTGCAGTGCTAACAGGTGACAACACCACCATACGCAGACAACAGAGGAACAGAAGCAAATAACTCAACCATGGTTACTCCTCATTTTGCAACACTTGCCCAAGGAGAAGCTATGATAGCACATTTTCAGAAGAAAAAAATGCAACTCGTCCGGTTATTGGGTAATTCCAGTTGCAAAACTCATGAGAATCACAGCTCCGGCATGGCTTTCCTTCAGATCAAATCTAACTCTGGCATCCATGATGTATGGAAATAAATGAATTTTTCCGTATTGCTGACAGGGGACGTTCCTCGTTCTGCTTTCCCAGGCCACTGCTCTTTTCCTGGCTGCTGTTTCCTTTTCAAGGGAAAAGCTTCTCCTCCGTGTGAAACACAAGGTCTGCGCACTGGTCCCTGCAGAGGCGCCTGTCCCCCGCTGAGGCTGGTTAGCGGCATGGCTCAAGGCCACCCTGGCAGAAGTACACACACTAAATTGCAAAGGTGGAGGCGCAGTGCCAAGCTGCGTGAGGCAGAAACAAATGGGTTTGGGTCATGGCGGAGGAGCCTGGCCTTGAGACGGGGGGAGTGAGGATGGGCTGCAGAAGAAGTACGTAGAGACATTGGGTCTATCAGTTCAGGTTAGGAATGGGTGTGTTTGAGTTACTGCACGAAGAGGCCCTGAAATAATAATAATAAAAAAATATCCCCAGTGTGAGAATAACGACGAATTTGAAGCAGAACCAGGGCAGGGATGGCAGGAGGGAGCCAGGGCCCTCTCCTCCTGTCTGACATGCATGGCGCCAGCCGGGGCCGGCGTGACCGGGACGGTTGTGTGTGGGTGGTTACGACCGTTTTTAGGATCCCTGTTGGAAAATAACCTTTTTTTAAAACAAAATCTCTGAACAACGTGAGGCTGGGAAGGCGGTCAGCCGCCCACTCCC